GGCTGGAGTGCACTCGTCTGGGAGTCACTTATCCATTACTTATATTCTACTCATTCAACACTTCATTAACTTATCTATAACACTCTGGCCTTCCACGCCTTATCATATTTACCAGCTCATAACCGTTGGGATACGTTCTATCGTCTATTATCTGGTCGGACTACTTCGTATCCCACACTGAATTGGTCGACCGTGGGGGTGTTCAGGTAGTATGATCAATAACTATCTACTTATTTTATTTAAGTAGGTATGATTTACTGCATTTAGATTGGAAAAAGGTCGTAATAGGGGTTGTAGGTTTAGGTTTAGTGATTATAGATGGGATAATGCTTTAAGGGTTAGGTTAGGCGATCGAAGATTAGGTTCAAGTTTTAACATTAGGGTTAGGGTTTTTACAGTTTCGGTTTACGCTTCTAGCCATGAAACGTGAGATAAGCTTTTCAGGTCTAGAGGTACACCAGGGGTTTTAGGGCAACACCTAGGTTTAGGGGGTTAAAATTCAGGGTTTAGGTTTATATGTTACGTTTAGGATGGTGTATTTGGGTCAGGAAGGGGCGTGAGAGTTAAGTTGAGGTTTTGAATTGTTTAAATGTTCTTACTATTAAGGTTGGAATTAGTGTCTCATTTAGGCTTTTAGGGTTAGGGTTTCGGCTAGGAATGAAGATTAGCATTATGGTTAGTTGTTGTTATTTGAGGTATTTATCCACAGCGGATTTACATATGCTACCCTTGCCCACTTGTAAACTTATAAAGAAGTAGTTTATTGTTCCCGACCAGATATAAAACGACAGGTTAACATCAAAAAACAAGTGAAATCACCTGCGGGCTGCCGTATATCCGAACCGGTATTTAATTCAAGTGCATGGAACGAGGTTTCTGCTGCTTGTACTGCTCGTGGTTCGCGCTTTAGTTTTCCCAAAGAATCCAGGTCAGAAAAAATGTTCGTCATTAACGTGGATCTCCTCTCTTCAATTTCATCTTTCCAAGCGGTCTGTGTAGGTGAACTTTCCGATTTTGAAATGCCCACCTTTAAAATTAACAATATGAAAACAAGGAACTTTACGTTGCAGAAAGTTTTCAAAAGAAGTGCGATTATGAGCTGAA